AAGAATAATTATATGTTATAAGGTTCTTCAAGGACTTGTTGGTATATTATTTTATAATTTTGCAATGAAAAAAATGAACTTCTCAACAACTTTCTTTACTTAATGTGTATTAAAGACATTATCACAGATTTAGAAGATAATTTGGCTGAATTAGGTTTGTCTTTTATCTCTTTGTTGAAAGACATTCTTCTAGTGGGATTATATATGATGTGGATAATTTTTATTCTTAATTTTTTATTTTCTTTGTGGGAAAATTTTCTATTTTCCTTGCCTCCAATTTCTGGTGCCCAATGTAGCTTTGAAAATCTGTTGTGAATGGATTTCTGTGAAAGGACATGGTTTTTTTTATTTTATTTCTTTTCAGCATAACAGAATTCATTGTTTTTGCACCACACCCAATGCTCCACGCAATACGTGCCCTCCTTAATACCCACCACCTGGCTCCCCCAACCTCTTACCCCCCACCCCTTCAAAACCCTCAGATTGGCGTGCCTGGGTGGCTCAGTGGGTTAAAGCCTCTGCCTTCAGCTCAGGTCATGATCTCAGGGTCCTGGGATTGAGCCCCACATCGGGTTCTCTGCTCAGTGGGGAGCCTGCTTCCTCCTCTCTCTTTCTCTCTGCCTGCCTCTCTGCTTACTTGTGATCTCTCTCTGTCAAATAAATAAATAAAATCTTAAAAAAAAAAACAAACCCTCAGATTGTTTTTCAGAGTCCATAGTCTCTCATGGTTCACCTCCCCTTCCAATTTCCCTCAACTCCCATCTCCTCTCCATCTCCCTATGTCTTCCATGTTATTTGTTATGCTCCACAAATAAATGAAATCATATGCTACTTGACTCTGTCTGCATGACTTATTTCACTCAGCATAATCTCTTTCAGTCCTGTCCATGTTGCTACAAAAGTTGGGTATTCATCCTTTCTGATAGAGGCATAATACTCCATAGTGTATATGAACCACATCTTCCTTATCCATTCATCCTTTGAAGGGCATCTTGGTTCTTTCCACAGTTTGGCGACCACGGCACTACTGGGTATTTACCCCAAAGATACAGATGTAGTGAAAAGAAAGGACATGTTTTTAAAGGCTGTGAAAGTTCACTTAGATCTTACTTTAGTTCACAATAGTGTCCTCTACTTTTTGTAGATAAAAAAGAACAAAGCAAAGTCAGTAATCTTGACTTGAATTATATGTAAGATAGTTCCTGTCATGAGAGAGGTAACAAATAAACTCCTTTGTGAGTACTCAGTTACTAGAACCCTATGGTTATGGAGACTGAAGGACATACTTTATTGTATTTTATATTGGCTCCAGGCTATGCAGAAGGGTCATCATGGGAATATCCTATTTCTCAATTTATATTTGCTTCTGTTAGAGGGAATCAAAGTGGGGGTGGAATGATTGGAAAAAGCGAAAACCAAAACCAGAATCAAGATAAACCAAAACAAAACATTTCAGTCCTAGAGATGCATTTGAGAGAAACCATTTGGCAATAGTGGTGGAACCTTTCTTAAAACATCATCTGTATTTCAGATGAATAGCTGAGAAAGAGATCACGTTTCTACTTTTAGAAAGGAAATAAAACCAGTGAAAAGGGAAGAAAAACAAGGTAGTATACGCCTATATCATATGGCTTTGTATCTTTATTATGTATATTTTTTATTTTTTTAAGAATATATTTATTTATTTATTTGTCAGAGAGAGAGAGAGAGAGAGAACACAAGCAGGCAGAGGTGGAGAGAGAAGTGGGCTCCCCACAAAGCAAGGAGCCCGATTTGGGACTCAATCCCAGGAGCCTGGGACCATGCCATGATCCGAAGGCAGTGGCCCAACCGACTGAGCCACCCAGGTGTCCCTATATATATATATATATATTTTAAACCCATGATTTTTTAAATTAAGTTTTTAATTTTAATTCCAGTATAGTTAACATACAGTGTTATATTAGTTTCAGGTGTGCAATACAGTGATTCAAGAATTCTATACATTGCTTAGTGCTCATCACATTAAGTGTACTCTTAATCCCCTTCACCTGTTTCACCCATCCTCCCGCCCATCTTCCTTCTGATATGCTTTATTTTAAATGAGTACCCTTCATTAAAGTTATTATTATTTTTTCAATGGGAACATTTTTTACTTGAAGCATATTTCAGAATGCTTCATATATTTTTATATCATAGAATTACAGTAATTTATTTATACTTTCATTTGAAAAGAAATTCAAGCAATATTTTTTCACTTGATATAATTTGAATAATATTTTTTTTTCCAAAGCAAAAATGTGTTTTGAAAAGGAAAGGAATTGTAGGCACTTTGAGTGGCGTGTGGTAGAGTTAAGGATAGACTGAAAACAGGACAACACGGTAGTCTGAAAGGGGGCATAGAGGCCCTGAACAGGCTGTTTGGTTGGGTGTAGAAATGTGCTACATTTCAGAAGGTATACTCTGTCTCTGAATTCAACAATGTTGGTGGGTTTTTTTTAAAAGATTTTATTTATTTATTTGACACACAGAGAGAGAAATCACAAGTAGTCAGAGAGGCAGGCAGAGAGAGAGGGGGAAGCAGGCTTTCCGATGAGCAGAGAGCCCGATGTGGGACTCGATCCCAGGACCCTGAGATCATGACCTGAGCTGAAGGCAGAGGCTTAACCCACTGAGCCACCCAGGCGCCCTGTTGGTGGGTTTTATATGAAATTCTCAACATTTATAGTACAGTTGACCCTTGAACAACATAAGGAGTCAGGGCACTGATACTCCCTCTCCCTTAAAAATTGGCTTATAACTTTTATAGTATTTGCCTCTGTTTAAAAAAAAAATTATGGTGTCACCTGGGTTTCTCAGTCAGTTAAGCATCCAACTCTTGATTTCAGCTCAGGTCATGATCTCAGGGTCGTAAGATAGAGCTCCACATTTGGTACTGCACTGGGCATGGAGCCTGCTTAAGATTCTCTCTCTCTCTCTCCCTCTGAGCTCCCCCCCAACTCTCTCTCTCAAAAGACAAAAGCAAATAATAAAATATAAATAAATAAAAATTGTTATTAATCTAAAAATTATAGTTCATCAGCATAAGAGTTAATTTTAGTTACAGTATGGTTTTAAGTGTATGTCTTTCTCCGCATGTGTATCAGGTATACAGTGTGGAAAGGCCTTGGTAAAGCACTGACCTTTTCACTTAAACATACACGTGAAGACCTTGATTATCTTTGGAATATGTACAGTAACACACTTATGGATCTAGGGAAGGATTTGCTAGAGTAGTAAGAGGTTGATGACCAAAGAGATTCAGATTTTATGGAACTAGGCCCTTGGGCGTTAACAAAGTCTAGGAGGGGAATGGGAAAAGACCCTCAGGGGAATCAACTGGGAGGGAGCCTGGGCCCTACACTGAGACTCTGATATTCCTTGGAGTTGGAGGCAGGAGTATAGAAAAAAGAACAATTCTATCTCCTAGAATCACTGGGATGGAAAGGAGTGTTGAAGGGATTGATTCTGGATAAGAGAAACACTTTGAAAATTTGTACTCATTCTTTCCTTCCTCCCTTCCCTTTTCCCACATATGTACTTGTGATAAAGTTTAATTTATAAATTAGGCACAGTAAGAGGTTAATAATAATAACAACTAATGAAACAATTATAAGAATATACTGTAATAAAAGTTTTGTGATATGGTCTCTCTCTCTCTTCTTCAAAATATCTTATTGTACTCAGTCTTCATTTTGTGTGATGGTAAACTGCCTATCAGTTGAGATGAAGTGAGGTGAATGACCGAGGCATTGTGATGTAGCCTTAGGCTTCTATTTATTTTCTGATGATATGTCAGAAGGAGAATCATCTTTTTCTAGAGTGGATCATGATTGACTATGGGTAACTGAAGCCACAAAATGCAAAACTCTAGATAAGGGGGTACTACTGTAATACTTCCTAATTATTTTTGTTTTAGTTTTCATGGGTTCCATGGGAAGTATCTGGATATTTTCTGGGGGTGGACTCTTATGTTCTCTTGCCTACAAATAGAGAAGAAAATGGGTAAAATCTAAGTGGGAAGGTTTTTGCCTTGATAGTAACACATGTTTCTGTGGACTATAAATTTATTATTTTTTTAACAGACTAAGTTACATATAGGTGATACCTGTTTCTTACTGCTTATGTCTGTGGGCCTTTGATAAATACTTAATTGTGAATAAGTTAATACAAATTTAAGTAATAAATTTAAGTAATAATACAAATTAATACAAATGGAGATTTGGGTAATAGTTTTTATGGCCAACTTGTTAATTTGAATATGTGATAATAAATATGCCACATGTGGTCATTTGAAATATTTGTGTATTCTTGTGCAAAAAATCACTGGTTTTAAAATTAATGTTAATGCATTAAAGATGGCTTGTCATTTTTTCTTTTATTGTCTTGCCCAAATATCAATCTCTTCTCTCCTTTTATAATAACTATGCCAATTTAGTTTATTTTCTGTATAGGAAAGTAAATTGTCCCCTAATTTCTTTTCCAATCAAAACTCTCAAACAGTCCCCCAAACAAATAGAGATGTGTAGCATCTTCCAAAGTCCTACTTGCCTCCTCATATGAGTCATTATTAACAAGAACAAGCAAAATATGAATGTTGGCTGTCTCAGTACTATGATTTCTTGGAAGTTAGAGGACTTGCATGCCATAAGATATTTTGCATCAACTTGGCCATTCATTTTTACTTAAAAATCCTGAACAAATGCAAACCCACCCTGGGTTATTATTTTAGTCATGAACATACCAACATAGATTAATTTGTTAGAGGATTTAAGTCCAGACCGCATGACCAGAGAACAGATAGGGAAGGAATTGTTTATTTCTCTGTTAGTGGGTTTGTCACTGTGGTCCTCTGAGGGCTACAGCCAATATCAGGAAGAGGTGCTGCATACAGATCTCATGCACTCTATGATTTTCACTAGTGCTTCCCTTTAGAAGGTATTTTTCTTTACTAATAAATATCTTTTCATTTTTGTGCACAGGCAGCATGTCAGCTGAAACACCAGTCACACTGAATATCGATCCTCAGGATCTGCAGGTCCAAACATTTACTGTAGAGAAGCTACTGGAGCCACTCATAATCCAGGTATGAAGACCATGGAAATAACAATATGTAACTTCAGAAGAACTAAAAAATGGGAAAAGTAGATCATGAGCCAGGGAAAGATTTGATTTTTGTAGAGGGAATATGGCATCTAAAATTGCTTTTAAAAAATACCTTTAAGGGCGCCTGGGTGGCTCAGTGCGTTAAAGCCTCTGCCTTCGGCTCAGGTCATGATCCCAGGGTCCTGGGATCAAGCCCCGCATCGGGCTCCCTGCTTGGTGGGGGGCCTGCTTCCCCCTGCCCCCTGCCTGCCCCTCTGCCTAAGTGTGATCTCTGTTGGTCAAATAAATAACATCTTTAAAAAAAATACCGTTAAAATACAAAAAGTATATATATATTTAGTAATAATAATACATTTTGGAAAGTCCCCCCCATTCTCTTTTGAAAGCAATAGCTGTGGGATGCCTGGGTGGCTCAGTCAGTTCAGTGTCCAACTCTTGATTTTAGCTTAGGTCATGATCATGGGGTTGTGAGATTGAATCCTGTGGGGGTCTGAGCTCAGCATGGAGTCTTCTTGTCTCTCTCCGTATCCCTGCTTGTGTGCACACGCTCTCTCTCTCAAATAAGTAAAATCTTAAAAAAATAAAAGCAACAGCCATAAAAATATTTACATATAGCTTTCAAAGTAGCTTTATATAAAATCTCTTGTTTTATAGTCATGAAAACTGAGTGAGGCAGGCAGCATGGTTAAAACCACCCTTATTATATAGATGCGGGGATTGAGCCTAGAGAATTTCTGTGACTTGTCCCAAGGCACATGGGGCTCATTTGTCAAATAGGAAATTATTTTTAAAATAATAAAATGTGTGAGAAAAGCAGGTATTTAAGAAATTGTATGATAAAGTCTTTCATAAAGTCAGTAATTCTTTCACAATATACAACATGATTCCTTGGCTTATTATATAAGTTCAGATTTTATTTATTGGAGTTCTTAAAGCAGGGCATGAAAAAACTTATACTATGCTGTAGATTTAAATTTTTTGTCCTTACCCCAAAATTTATGAGGGAAATTCCCTTAGGCTTATCATACATTGTGCCTCCTACAACACATTATCTTTTCTTTTTTTTTTAATTTAAGTATAATTAACATACAGTGTTATATTAGTTTTAGGTATACATGGATTCAACAATTCTGTATATTTCTCAGTGCTCGAGATAAGTGTACTCTTAGTTCCCTTTATCTGTTTCACCCATCCCTCCCATGTTCCCTTTGGCAACCACCAGTTTGCACTCTGAATTTATGTCTTTTTTTGGTGTGTGTGTTTGTTCATTCATTTGTTTTGTTTCTTAAGTTCCACATTTAAGTGAAATCATATGGTACTTGTCTTTCTCTGACTGACATGTTTCACTTAGTGTTAAACCCTCTAGGGCCATCCATGTTGTTGCAAATGGGAAGACTTCATTCTTTTTTAATGGCTGAATAATATTGCATCATATATGTATACCACCTCTTCTTTATTCATACATCTGATGATGGACACTTGGGCCATTTCCACAACTTGGCTAATGCAGATAATGCTGCAATAAATATGGGAGTGTATATATATTTTTAATTACTGCTTTTGTATTTTTTGTGAGATTTGTGAGTAGTGGAATTATTGGATCATATGGTAGTCCTATTTTTAATTTTTTGAGGAACTTCCATACTGTGTTCCAGTGGCTGTACCAGTTTACATTCCTACCACCAGCGTGTGAGGATTCTTTTTCTCTATATCCTTGCCAACACTTGTTTTTTGTGTTTTTGATTTTAGCCATTCTGACCAGTGTGAAGTGGTATTCCATTGTGGTTTTGATTTGTATTTCTCTGATGCTGAGTGATGTTGAGCACTTTTTTAATGTATCACCAAGGTTTTTGGTGAAATTTTTAAATGAATTCTCACAAGTCATTTAAGATTTTGTTCCTATGCAGTTACCAGGTATGAATAGGAAAATGGCCTTCATTTTGGTGACAGCTCATAAAAGCTAGTACACTTATGTGACTTCTTATTTGTTCCGTAACAGTAGAACATTAGAGTTGGTCACTTAAGACTTGCTAATCAGGAAATCCTCCAAGATGGTGGAGGAGTAGGGGATCCTAGTTTTGTATGGTTCCTGGAAATCAGTTGGATAGTTATCAAATTATTCTGTAAACCTACAAAATCAACCAGAGATCTGAGAAAAGAATGCTACAATTCTACAAATAGAAAAGCAATCACTTTTTGCAAGATAGGAGGTGACGAGACATGAATCCGAAGCAATACATTGGAAGATAAACCTTTAGGAGAGGGAGCCTCTGTAAGCTGGGTACCAGAAAATGTTATAAGCAGCAGAGCACAAAATTGGAACTTTTAGAAGTTTACCTGAAAGGTGCTCAGGAGGTGAAGCAGGCGGAATCCCAGGTGGGACAGCTTGGTCTCAGGAACCCCAGGCTCACAGATAGAATGAGGGTGCCTGAGTGCAGCAGAGTTCCCAGGCATTGGAGTGGGGAAGCCAGTTGCAAACAGTGAGACCAGGCTCTGGCTTACTGCTTGGTGTTGCCATAAGTTGAGAACCACTGCCTAATTGGTCTAATGCTCTCTGAGCAAGAGTGCAGCAAGAGACAGAACCACAGAGAAATCCCCTTCCCTACCCTGGAAGGAGCTGGGGAGCATGAGTGCCACAGAGTCCATAAAGTTTGGAGATTTGAATTAGGGTAGAGTGCCTGAGATAAAAATGCTCGGTTACAGGCTGGGTAAACATAGAGTGTGGATGGAAACTGAGAAGACAAGTGTAAGTGACCACTTTTCTGTGAGGGTGCACTGAAGAGTGGGGGACATGAACTTTCAGCTCCTGGGCTAGAGATGGGGGGACAGACAGTTATTTTCACCACCCCCACCAGCTCTGGAGCCCACTTACATTGAGCCTGGCCCCTCAAGGGAGTTGTAGTTCCACTGGGGCAAAGACAGCTAAGAATCAGGCAAAAGGTCTCTCCCCCAAAAGACCAGCAGGAACTTCTGGCAAATACCAAGTTTACTAATAGTACAGAACTGAAAACTCTGGCTCTTAGGGAAAGAGGTATATAGCATTTGTGTTTTTTTTCTTACTATTCTTTAGTCCTTCAGTTTTATATTTTATTATCCTTTTCAGCTGTTTTCTTATTTTATCAATTATTTTTTAAGTCTTTTAAAATTTTCACTTATGATATATATATATATATATTTCATTTTTGGCTTCCCTTCATTTTATTCAACTTTACTTTTGTATATATATAAGTTTTTCTTTCTGACCTATTTTGGGAGACCTATTCTAGTTTCTTCTAACACAACCAAAATACACCCAGAATCTAGTTTACTGTTCTGTTTGGTTCAAATTCTTATCTGATTTTATTCCCATTTCATTCCCATTTTTTCCCCCTTTTCTTTTCTGTTTGGTTTCTGTTCTCTTCTGATTAGTGTAGTGTATAATTTTCTGGTGTGGTTATTATTCTTTAGTCCTTCAGTTTTATATTTAATTATTCTTTTCAACTATTTTCTTACCAATTTTTTTTAAGTCTTTTTAAATTTTCATTTTTACACTTACAGTTTATATATATACATTTCATTTCTGGTTTCATTTCATTGCATTCAACTACATTTTTGTATATTTCTATAAGGTTTTCTTTCTTGCCTATATTGGGATCTAGTTTCTTCTAACAAACAGGATAGAGATCCAGTTTATTGTTCTGTTCTACTTGTTTGATTTTATTCTCAGTTTTTTTTTCTTTTTCTTTTCTTTTTTGTTTCTGTTCTTTTCTGATTTGTGTAATATATATTTTTCTGGTGTCATTGTTATGTTTGTATTTTCCATCACTTTCATCTATTCTTTTCTGGATATAATGACAAGATGGAAGAACTCGCTCCCCAAAAGAGAACAAAAGGCAGAAATCACAGCTAGGGATCTAATAAATAGGGATATAAGTAAGATGTTGGAACTAGAATTCAAAACAATGATTGTAAAGATAATAGCTGGGCTTGAAAAAAGCATAGAGGTCAGCAAAGAAGCCCTTCATGGAGAAATAAAACAACTGAAATCTGGTTGAAATAAAAAATGCTATTTCTGAGATGTAATAATAAAGGCTCTAACTGTTAGGATAAATGAGGCAGAACTTAGAGTCAGTGATATAGAAGATAAAATGATGGAAAATAAGGAAGCTGAGGAAAAGAACCATAAATAATGGATCATGAGGGGAGGATTCAAGAGATCAGCAATACCATAAAGCGAAACAATTAGAATACTGGGGGTCCCAGAGGAAGAGGCAAAAGAGAGAGAAAGGGGCAGAAGGATTAATAAAACAAATTATAGCTGAGAACTTCCCTAATCTGGGGAAGGAAACAGGCATTCAAGTCCAGGAGGTACAAGGAACTCTCCTCAAAATCAATAAAAATAGGCCAACACCTAGACATATAATAGTGAAGCTTGCAAATTTCAGAAATGAAGAAAAAATCCTAAAAGCAGCTCAGGGACAAGAGGTCTTTAACCTACAAGGGTAGAAACATAAGGCTAGCAGCAGACCTGACCACAGAGACCTGACAGGCCAGAAAGGACTGGCATGATATATTTAATGTGCTAAATGGGAAAAATATGCAGCCAAGAATACTTTATCCAGCAAGGCTGTCCTTAAGAATGGAAGGAGGGATGAAGAGCTTCCATGACAAACAGAAACTAAAAGAATTTGTGATCACTAAACCAAACCTGCAAGATATATTAAAGGGGATTCTTTAAGCAAAGAGAGAGCCCAAAAGTAACAAAGACCAGAAAGGAACAGAACAATATACAGAAACAGTGCCTTTACAGGTAATACAAAAGCACAAAATTTGTATCTTTCAATAATTACCCTGAATGTAAATGGACTAATGTTCCAGTCAGAAGACACAGGGTATCAGATTGGATTAAAAAACCCCAAGACCCATTGATAATGCTATCTACAAAAGACTCATTTTAGACCCAAAGACACCTCCAGATTTAAAGTGAGGGGGTGGAAAACC